CGATATCATGGAAGGTGAAAACTCAGGAGGAGGAAAGATCTGGAACGGTTTAGTACGCTACTTTTACCAGAAGATTAGTCCATCACAACTCTTAGCCATAATGATCCTCGTGGGCTTATGTTCCAACGATCGAGAAGCCACCGACCTCCTCGAACCTGGAAATGATTATGGTATGTTTAATTTTTGATTTTTAAAGTATATATCGTATTTTAAGTCTATCACATAGTGGATCTTGTAAATTTAACTTTTTGAGGTCTTTACAACTTTATTTACTATCATCATCGGTAATATGAAATTTTAGTTGTCCGATTCTCTTAATATTCTGTTTATGATATTTTAGTTGTAATTTTAGATCGTATTTTGAGTCTATCATATAATAGTATCTTGTAAATTTAACTTTTTGAGGTCTTTACAACTTTATTTATGTATCATCGGAGGTGATATGAAATCTTAGTTGTCTGATTCTCTTAATATTCTGTAATTGTAATTTTAACATGTTAAACTAGTAACTTTCTTTTTGATAATATTTAAAATCTTCTTTAGAACATAAAAAGTTTAATATCATCTTTTAATTTTTTTGTTGATCATCGAAAATGTTGTAATATTAATATGGGAAAATAGTTGTAACTTACCCGAAGTATGGGGTAATATGTAGAAAACTATCCGAAGTATAAAAATGTGCTTTAAACTACACCAACTTATAAAAATGTGCTTTAAACTACACGAAATATGAAAAAACATGTTGCAAACAACATATTAGGTTTTTAAAGGTTAAAACGTGATTTTGGGGTCAAATTATAATTAAATTTTCTTAAACCTGATTTAATCAAATATCCAACCCGACCACTAGGAGACTCTCATGTGGCTCATTTGTATTTTGTATTTGGTTATAAACCATGTGAACTTTATTGCAAAGTAATTGAGTTATATCCTATTAGAATTACGTTTGAAATCTGTATAGGAGTTTTGGACTAGATTGGATTTCCATATTTGTTGTTTTGATTGTTCATATATGTTGGCTTCAAGCTATGATAAACACGTCATGGGTTCTTCCCCTTATCCTTCACGCCATGCCCATCTATATTTCTAACACTATGTTCATCCAATTTCCTCAAATCAAGAACACTACGATCTTACCTTTGAAAACGATATGGCGTGTTTATCATTGTATAATCAGTTTTCAAATTTTAGCCAAGTATTATGATTAAAATATCAAAATATCGTTAGTTATCATTGTATTTGTTTTCTTTTGCTAAAATTACTTGGCTAAGTTTGTTTTTGGTTTGAAAACTATTAAAAGCCGATAGGCTAAATTGTTATATTTATTATTCAAACTAACGATATTTTGATATTTTAATCAAMTATAAGTTATATTGTTTGCTTTGTTTTCTCTGTTTCCACATAATTCACGATATTTGTATATATGTCTTTGTTTTTGTATTTTAGAAAAATGTTGGGTCAAATTAATATGACCCAGTTAAAATGATAATCTGAACCGGGTCGGGTTAAGTGATTGATCGGGTCGGATATTTGATTAAATYGGRTTTAAGAAAATTTAATTACAATTTRGCYCTAAAATCACGTTTTAAGYTTTAAAAATCCAATATRTTGTTCGCAACMTGTTTTTTCATACTTCGTGTAGTTTAAAACACATTTTTATAAATTGGTGTAGTTTAAAACACATTTTTATATTTCAGGTAGTTTTCTACATATTACCCCATATTTCGGGTAGGTTACAACCATTTTTCCTTTTTCTTAATCATCAAAAAGGTTATAATACTTTATTTGTTTGGTTTAAGGAATGGCCTCAAACA